GTGTGTTACTGATATAATTTTTTAAAGTTATTTATCTTTAAAAAAAACCAGCAGGGTTGCATATGGAAAATTTGTCCTTACAGATGTTTCTACAATTGTGTTTCTGGCTTTCGAACACATTTTTCCCTCTTTTAAAAGTTGATCCAAATATCTGTAAAACTCAACCTCCTAAACTTTCCAGAATTATTTTCAGTTCTTAGAAAAGGCTTTAACCTTCAACTTCTCTAGCTGTGGTCCCACTATATGTTTATGACTATTTTTAAATAACCAAATTTTTGGTTGATGTTGAAAGACATTTAGAAGATCATTTGTAGGAGGAAAAACAAACTGTGGGCCTTGAATCTGGAGTTAAGAAAACCTGGCTCTGCATTCTCAGGGAGTGCCATTCTCCGGTCAATTACAAATTGGAACTATCTAGAGCTCAAGTCCTAGAAGGAGTGCAGCTTGATGGTTTACATGCAAGGATAGGAGGCTGTGGACAAAATTTGGGGGGTTATCAACATAGAATTAGAGAAAAGGCCTCCTATGCCGGTTTCTCCTGCATTGTCTTCGGGTCACTTAAATATATTTACTCTAGGAGGACAAAGGATTCATGGGTCCTCAGGGACTAAATATCTATATGTGGGCTTCCATCAGGAAATGTACTCAACACAAAGCTGGTGGTCACAAGTATTCTCCATCAGGGTGACAAGTGCCACACCCCCTCTACCCTTCCAGCTCCCTTATATTTTTTCCAGGCCTGCAAAGCATCCAGCCATCAGACAGGGCTCCCACACGCTGAGCGCTCTTGGGAGGCTTGGCGGCGGCCCTCATGCCCTCTGATGCTCCCATCTCCCCTCTTGCACACTTGTACATCTTCAGTGAAGAAAGCCAGGAAGGAATGTGAGAACTAAACACGGACTTGGTTACAACACAAGGAAGAGCATGCTGAGGCCTGGTTGCCTGTTCCTTTGGCAATACAGCTGCTCTGGAAAAGTCTTGGAGCCCTATTTCAGTGGAAACTAAAATTAAAGTCAGTCAGAGGCAGCCTGAAGAGAAAAGGGATAAAATTATGCATTTGTGTATAGGGATATGGATACAGACATAGATGTAGGTAGTCTGTTATATATTTTAGGCATTCATGTGAAGGGCACATATAAAATAATCCCTATAGGGATGACCAAGCACTAACAGAAGGCCTTTATTCAGGGCTTCCGTGATTATGGTAACCAGACATTCAACCAAAAAGCAACAGGGTGATATAAAGACACAAAAATGAGCATGGAAAAACAGACTGGGGTAACTTCTACCTTCTGACATCGTTATTGACACAAGGCCAGTCAGTAGTCCATGGAACATTGGCAGCAAGACACTTAAACTATATTAAGCAATAATGAAGGATAAATTCTAGTTAGCGCCAAGATAGGAGCCACCATCAGGCACATCTGCCAGCTTCAAAGCTGGATGAAGACACATATTCCAAGGCCACACATGCAAAGGCAAAGAGGCATAAAGTGACAATGCTTGTGTATAAAATGGAAAGCCAAGGTGAACCCTCCAAAGTCAAACAACTAACTGTATGAAAGTGTATGAAAACCTAACAAATCCTAAGCAAAAATCTAGCAAAATGATCTCCTTTCTGGGGCCATTATTTATCTGGAATAATCAAAGAAAGCGAGGGTGGGGGGTGCAGGTAGAGAGGGGCTCTGTCCCCCTAAAACTTAGAAAACCTCTAAGATCTCTCTTTAACTATTCACATATGAACTTTCCTCCAAACATTAGCTGTTCCACTTACCAAGCTACAGTGAGTGACTGAATTTGAAAACTCTGTGATCACTCATTCAGTCAATTAATACTTATCGAGTGCCAATTTGGATGACGAACAAGCCCACCACAAACCCTGTCTTCACAGAGCTCACAGCCAGGGCTCCGTGTGCACGATGGTCCCTTCGGCCTCTGGTGGCAATGAACTGACGGAACAGAGAATAAACCCTAGGAAGCATCCAGTCACACAGCCCACCTCTGCAGAACATGTCACTGGTTATATTCTAAAATCTCGATTTAACTCCCGGGTTTGGAATTTAGAGATCGCCTTCCCAGGGAAGCAATGCCATCAATCACGTTTGGGTCCTCAGGTCAATCCATTGAGTTTGAGTTGCCCTGCATTAAGCTGCAGCGTGATTTAAAGAGGCTTCTGGTTACCCCAGGCCCTTCCAGTCAACAGTCTTAAACTATGGTTTATGATCCCGAGGCGGCTACTGTGATGACACGGTTGACACTGGAGCTTGAAGCATGCGATGCTGGGATGGGTAAAAAACTGTAAATGCCTCGTGGGTGGGCTGGCATCCTGCAATCTCTAACTATCTACAGGACAAGGGACTGGGGACAGAGGTAGAACCTCCCGAAGGTACTTATGAGGGCAAGGGCCACATTGGAACAGCTCGTTTGCACATCACACGGAACGGAGCCATCGGTCCCAGCCAAGGCGATGCACATTTCTTACCGTCCTTACTGAGAAATCACCACTCCTGTGTTTCCTGGTGATTCCAGGAAGACAATAGTATTTTTATATACTCTTCCTTTTTTAAGGCACACTTTTTTTTTTCCAGCAGTGATCCCAGCACTAATAGCATTTAAAGTACATTAACTACTATTAATGTTTCAATATCACTTTTTTTTTGCAGTTTAATTTGCCCTCATCTTCTCTTCCATACCCTCTCAAAATCTCATCAACTCAGCATCTGACTGGCAAAAAATAAAAAATAAAATAAAAATAACCTCCACTGTAGCCAAACATGTTCAAACCGTAGCATGAATAGATGTGTAGCAAAAAGTAGGGGAGAAAAAGCTATTGTAAACAAGCCCATGAGTCTCTGAGACAACTTTTCTTAAAAAACAACTTTATTTATGTTTGGAAAAAAAGGGAGTGAAACAAACGATAGCGTAGCTTCCGCCTGAAGGAAGTCATTTACTGGCTCTGGGACAAGGTTCAGTAAAATCTTCCTTACAATTCATTAAGGCTACCCGTAGGTTAGACGCATTTGGGAAATGTAGGTGCTTTAGTGGTAATCAGCCCAAAGTATCCAAATAAAAACCGGTTTCACTCTTCATGTGGGAGTCTCTATAGGAAATACAATCTTCTCTGAAACAAATGTCTACCTTTTATTCTCCTCCCCCCCCACCACGCCACACGGAGTATGTGAACATTTACAGAGCATTTTGTCAGTTGTTTTCCTAACACAAAGCTGGGGTAGGGGCGGCTCCTAAATATTGCTCCCAGGGTTCCAAAGCTCATGCGCAGCTCCCAGTAGAACCTAGACAAATTTTCTCTCTGGAGAGCTCATGAGATGAAAGGTCTCACACTAAACCCTCAAGATGGAAAAGTAATTGGGCTAGTGTCTGGATCTCTCCATTAAGATCCCCGCTTAGGGACATCTATTCCAAGTGCCTCTAAGGAAAGAAAGCGCTTGATGAGAATGGGGGGAAAAAATGCCATCGTGGCTGGGTGACATGCAGAGAACAGTCCGGACCCTAGGTGCCAGCTGAACGCAGGGACCTAGAAAGGTCTGCAAAGCAATGCCCCTCCTGCATCTTGTCACTCAGAAGGTGCTAGCCCACGTTGATCCCATAGAATGGTGATTCTCCAGGAATGCTTGGGCCACAGTAGTATTGGTGTCCCTTGAAAACTGTTAGAAATGCCACGTGTCAGGCCCTCCTCAGATCTTTTAAGTCAGAACTTTTTGAGGTGGCCCAGAAATCTGTGTTTTCACAAGCCCTCCAGGAGCTGCTGATGCAAAGTCACGTTTGCAAACTGTCATCGTAGTAGGACTAATTAAAATCACTGTAGTAGAGTCCCTCCTCCAGGTCTTATTTATAATTGGGAATGAGAGATCTTTCCTCCTCCAAAAGAAATGTCAAGAATCAGTAGATCAAAGGAAAGTCAGGAGGAGATTTGGGGGCTATACAAGACTCAATTTGCCACTACTCCTTCCTATTCATTTCAGGTTTAGGGATTTTGATCATAGGCACCAACAGAGAGAGAGAGAAGAAAACATAAGAAATAGATCCACTCCACCCCAGAGCCCAGCGTACGCTGGACAGCTTATTCCTCTATAAACATCACTTCTGAGTAAGGAGGCAACATGAATTAGCAATTGTAATGAACGAGGCAGATCAAGAAAACCCACCACTTTGTCTCCAACACAACTAAAGCCACCACTAAACCTTGGCTGTGGCTTTCCGAACGACGCTAGTGGCTATTTATAAGAGACCACACAAAATTCAACAACAGCATAATTAGTCAATACGTAAGTTTAAACTTCAAAGCAAACGCTTTTCAATCACTGAAACTCTTGGCTCTTTATATAACAAGAACATTTAAACAAGATTCCCGCCCTAAAATGAATTTTCAGTCCTCATGAAGAGACCCATGGTTTCTTCTTGGCCCACATAGCGACCAATTTTGAATCTAGCACTGAGAATCTTTCCATTAAAAAAAGATACTCATTCAAAAGCTTCAATGTACAGGCAGTGTTCTGATTTTGCTTCCCAACACAAGCCAAATCTCACAAGATGAGACTCTTACTCTAAAAGCAGTATCCAACAACAAAAACTACCACGGAAGGGTCTAGAAGTCATCATCTGTACAGCAGAAAGGAGCCTTCTGCACAAAATACTTGTATCCCTAACTAACCTACTGCCACCATGCCTTGCCTGCCTTTCTGAAGCCAAAGGAAAACCCAGACACTATTTGCCTGTATCATTATTAGTCACTTGATACCCAGGAAATCAGTTCTGTGTCTTCAGGGACAACTGTCCTCATTGGAAAGTGGGTACTACTGAGTAATCAAAATTATTTTGCTCTGCCTTGATTTGTAGTATCATATCCTTGTTGCTATTTTTTCAGCCTTAAAACATAGTCATCATAAATCTAGCTGCTTCTTTCTTTAGTGGTAATTAGCATTAGTCAGAAGCCAAAAGTGATTCCACATAAGAAGTAAAATAAACACAACCCTTTTTACCTTTCATGCCAAACTTGGAGTGTCTTGCCAACTTCAGCAGAAACAGCATCACCAGCAGACAAAATCCCACCACAGATGCAATTACCACCACAGCATAGACCTGGGGGAAAGAAAGGAAGGGCAGTTATGACCTGGCTCCTTAGTTCTCTTCATCCAGATGATGATGGTAATGAGGATGACAGTTAATATTTACTACTTGCTTTGCAAGGAACTTTGTGTCCATCAATTAATTCACTTATCCCTTAACAACTCTTCAATGAAGTATTGTGGGTCCAGTTATTTTTTTTATTATTTTTTTTATTTATTCATGAGAGACACAGAGAGAGAGGCAGAGAGAGAAGCAGGCTCCACGCAGGGAGCCCGATGTAGGACTAGATCCCGGGACTCCAGGATCATACCCTGGGCCAAAGGCAGGAGCTTAAATGCTAAGCCACCCAGGCACCTCTGTGGGTCCAGTTATTATCCTTACTTTACAAATGAGAAAATACAAGTTATAAGCTTATAAAAATATCAGTGTAATTGATACTATATAGACATAGAGATATATTACTCTCTCCCCATCTATCTATCCTCCCACTTACCTATGTGGAGAGAGGAAAGAGACTTGACAAAACTCAAATAATACAATACTATTTCTGAAGCTGGTGAAAGATACAATGGGGTTCGTTTTGCTATGTTCTCTACTGTTATGCATGTTAGAAAGCTGTCTATAATAAAAAGATTTTTTTTAAGTTGGCTATTTTTGCTTTTAGAAATCAAAGTCCCATGGAACAGGGAGCAGGCCTGGAAGGGAGCAGGAGGGGTACCTGTGGGTCAGTTCATTTGTGAAAGCTCATTGGGTGGTAGACTTATGATATGTACACATATGCACATGTATGATAGAGGTCAATACAAAGATTTTTTTAAAGATTTATTTATTTATTCATGAGAGACACAGACTGAGAGAAAGAGAGAGAGACAGAGACATAAGCAGAGGGAGAATCAGGCTCCTTGCAGGGAGCCCGATGTGGTACTCTATCCCAGATTCCGGGATAACGACCTGAGCCAAAGGCAGGTGCTCAACCACTGAACCACCCAGGCATCCCAACACAAAGATTTTTTAAACTGAAAAATATAATCACAACATGTGGATTATTCAAGTAGAGAGAGTAGATGCAGATCTGTGTGAATCCTGCCACAACCCCGAGTGAGATCACAGAGCACAAGTGTGTAATGCTAATGGAGTACATATTAACATTTTAGGGACAAAGATGGGAGCAGGACAATGCATCTCCTTCCATTTCTGCTGTTCACTCCAAGGTCCTGCTCCCAAGAAAGGGTGTGTGACTCTCTACACCAGGAGGTGGCGACCTTTTGCTGTCAAGGGTCAGACAGTAAATCCTTTAGGCTTTGGGGGCCATATGGTCTGTTTTGCAAACTCTCAACTCTGCTGGTGTAGAGTGAAAGCAACCGTAGACAATATGTAAGCAAATGGGCATGACTGGATGCCAATAAAACTTTACTTACAAAAACAGATGGATGTGGTTTGCAGAATCCTATTCTACACTGTTTTAAATGTCCACACTTAATTAGATGCTTAACTTTCTTTGTTTCATTTACTCTGCATAATAATCCTTAAGACAGATATTATTATTCCCATCTGTGGTAATCATTAATGCTGTTTACCTAACACTTCTATTTCACCTTGTGTTTCTCTTTATAAGATTCACTTCCTGGCTTACTTGTGGTAAGATGGGTGCATGTGACCAATTCTGGCCAATGAGGTGAGACTAGTATCCCTGAAAGTGGACCATTTCACTGCTACTTTGAGATCTTTGGCAGTGGTTTGCACCCAGGTATAATATTACACTCAGGGGACATCTGTCAATTTGAGGTTCTCACAACTGGAGGAGGGTGCTACTAGCATCTAGTGAGCCAAGGCCAGGGATGCTGCTAAATTAAACATCCTACAATGCCTAACAGCCCCCCACAACAAAGGGTTATTCACCCACAATTATGACATCAGTCATATCAACACTGAGAACCCTGCTCTCATCTCCTTCCTCTGGGCCTTAATAAATGCTAACTTTCCAAAAGTGGCTGCCTATCAACCAAGTCTTAGAATGAGGACAAGACTGACAGAACTCCCAGTCAATACAAATAATGAAGCAAGAAATAAACCTTTATCATTTTAAGCCACTAAGATTGGGGGATTTTTGTTACTTGCAACATAGTTTATGCTGACTGATGTGCCCATCTCAGAGTGAGAGGCAGTACAGAGTAAAGATTAGGAATATATGAGTTCCTCATTAGTTTGAAATTTAGATTTACCACTTATTAAGTGCCTGACCTCAGAATTACTCAAAATCTCAGCATCTCACATGCCTCATGTGTGAAACAGGGAATATAATCATCCTACCTTGCAGATTATTTAAATACTCAGTGAGTTAGAGCAGATAACAGGTTTGGAACAGAGTCTATGACAACAGATAATAAATTAACATTGGCTATGATGATTATAAAACTGAGATTTATAAAAAAGTAAATAATCAACCCAAGATCACACCTTTTGAGCTTGGGATTCAAACTGAAGTCTGCCTTAGTATAAAGCCTGTGACTTATCCATAATTTATCCTTTATACTACTTCAAAACACATGGCTGAGAGGAAAGGCAGGATGCTAAAAACATGGCTAATCCTCCTGTGACATCATCTCTAATGTCCACTGGGGACAGCATTAAAGAGAGCACAAAAGACGGGAAAGGGCACATGCCAAGCACTTGGCCAGAGCAGAGACAAGGTGTGAGAATCCTCTCCTCTGGCTCTGTAGTTGTGAACACCTCTCCCACAGAACACCTCTGCAAATGTTTGAGTGCAGACTTAACTCTGTCTCTGTGGCCTATATACAAACAGAGTGGTTGTGATTCCTAAAAGGCTAATTATAGATCAACTTGTTCTAACTAAGGCCATTTCCCTCAAATGTACCTAATGATTTGGGGCAAGCTTTTTTCTCATCTTTATTTCTAACACTTTCATGGAAAAGCGATCATAGTATTTTAGCTCTCCATTTCTCAATCTTGTTAAATTCTAGACTTGAAGGGGAAATATTGAATAAAACATGTTCAATCCTATTTTATAGTTTTTTTTATTTTTTTATGTATGTTTATTGGAGTTTGATTTCTCAACATATACTATAACACCCAGTGCTCATCCCATCAAATGCTCCCCTCAGTACCCATCACCCAGTCACCCCATCGCCCTGCCCACCTTCCCTTCCACTACCCTTTGTTCATTTCCCAGAGTTAGGAGTCTCTCATGTTTTGTCACCCTCTCTGATTTTTCCCACTCATTTTCTCTCCTTTCCCCTATAATCCATTTCACTGTTTTTTATATTCCACATATGAGGGAAAAAACTGGGATGGAGAGATGGTGGGGACTCGCCCTAAGCCCTATAACTTCTCTGTAGGACCACAGATAGTCTCTGACCCACTTCAGAAAGTATTCAACTGGCATCCAGAAGCTTTGGTCCTTATGTTCACAGGACATCTTGCCTTTATGAGTTGTGAGAGCTAACAATGCTTCCCTTCTGCAAGCCTCCATTTCCTCATTGGTACACAGGTATGGTAATACCTGTCCTAACTTCTTTATTTCATTAGAGAGTGTTTGAGTCAATATAGAAAATGGGAAGGGTTCTACTGCTGGGGAGCAGCTAATGATCTGCTAGCAAATATTTAAACCTACTAAAGCAACTCTAAATGTAAAGAATCTCTTAATAAGCAAAGAATCCCATGACAGCAAATAGAATTGTTTCTTCAAAAATGAATTGTTTGATAAACTTGATTCCATGTACCATGCACATGTTGGGGTAGGAGTGGTCTTTATGTGGGAAGCAAGCAGGAATTAATGTATTTGTTTGTTTGTTTGTTTGGTTGGTTGGTTGGTTTGGTTGGTTGGCTGGCTGGTTAGCTGTTTGGTTGGTTGTTTGGTTGTTTGGTTAGTTAGCTGGTTGGTTATTTGGTTAGTTGATTGGCTAGTTAATTGGCTAGTTGGTCATTTGGTTACTTACATGACTGGTTAGTTATTCAGTTGGTTAATTGTTTTTTATCTGAGAATACCTCTCAGCATAGAACAAGGACCTGTTCTATTAAAAGAAATCTGGTAAGGTTCATGAGGAACACTTATTGGATCAGAAAGGAGAGCATTTGAGGTTATCTTCCAAATGCTTTGATAACACCTTTAACTTTTATATAAGCAACTGACTCTGAAACTCTTCTTCTAATCTAACAATCCTCCCTGTGATCAGGAACTCTTCATGATTTACATTTTCTTTAAATTCCATAGAGCATTGTTTTGTACCTCTCATGCAGATTTCCAGGGACCTCAGGTGGAGTTGTAATGTACCAGCTTCGAACAAAGATGATTCTCACTGATCTTGCCTTCCAGTGGCCCAACTATACACCATTCAAGCATCACTGAGATATGCCACTTAGGCACTTAAATTTATAATTTGGTATCAAAAGAGAAAACTGAGGTTGGCATGTCATTTTTAGTAACTGGGTTATGTACACACCTGTGGGCTTAACACAAGCTCCTTGGATTCCTTATATACACAAACAACTTTCTCAAACCAAAAAACATTAAGCAGTTTGGTATGAGAATAAACAGATATGATTGCACAAGGCAGGAAGTAGAAAACATTCCACAGCTGATCTACCAGGGCATTTGTCCTTGCTATTTCAATGCAATGCATATCGTCATCTATGGAAATATGTGTGTGTGTGTCTCCACATACTGGATATGCATATTTTGAGTTTGCAGCTGAGCTACATCTGTTATAAGCCTCTTGCTCCCACCACCAGGGCCATGGTTTAAATATAAATCACAACTCTTTATTGCTCCTCCAGACCCCCAACTAATCATACCATTTTCAATCGCTCTGTCCTGCAACCCATTCTAGAGCACTCACCATTACTCTAATCAGTCTCCAATGTTTATTATCTCCTAGGTGCCAGGCACTATTCGAGGGATGAAGGATACAGCTCTGAAAAACTACTGACCAGGTTGCCTAGACTTAAAAACTCACTGAGGAATCTAGGAAAGGAGGGGCATCTGGGTGGCTCAGTTGGTTAAGTATCCAACTCTTGATTTTGGCTCAGGTCATGATCTCAGGGTCATGAGATTGAGCCCCATGTCAGGCTCCATGCTAAGTGTGGAGCCTGCTTAAGATTCTCTCTCCTTTGCCCCCCTGCCCCACCCCACCACCACATGTACCCGCACTCTCTCTCTCTTAAAAAAGATAATAATCTAAGGAAGGAAAAAAGATATTACACAAGTAAGCAATAAAGAAACAAGAGAATTATAGACAATAATAACTGCTCTGAAGAAAATGGAACATGATAATGGCTGCCTGGTGGCCACTGATGACCAAACAACCAACTAGCCAACTAACCAACCAATCAACTAACCAAATAACCAACCAACTAACCAAAGCCATGCGATGACCATTGGGAAGTGCATGCCTTATAGAGGGAACCACAGATATAAGGGCTGTGAGACGAAAATAAGCCTGGAGCATGCAAGAGAAAGTTAAGAGAGACAGGTGAGACAGATGAGGACAGGGTGTGAGGTGAAGTCAGAGACACAGACAAGGGCAAGATATGCAGGGTCCTTTCACCACCATGAGGAGCTGAGCTTTTATAATATAAGTTTTCTTACACTCACATTGGGAAGACTCTGAGATAATTAGAGTGATCTGATTTGTGCTTTTCAAAAGTCACTCAGGCTGCTGTATGAAGAAAAGCCAGAATATCACGAGATGGGGGAGGAGGGACAGGTAGGGGCTGCGGAGTTATCCAGGAACGAGCAACTGTCTTAAACTTCCTCTGTGGAGGGCCGGATACTAAATATTCACAGCTTTGCCGGCCATGCAGTCTTGCTACAGCTACTCCAGCCACCACTGTAGCATCAAAGTAGCCACAGACACTATGTAAATAGGCATGACTGCGTTCTAATAAAACTGTATTTTTTACGGACACTGATATTTGAACTTCATCAAATTGTCACATGTCACAAAATGTCATTCTCCTTTTCATTTTACTTCAAATCACTTAAAGTTTTTTTTTTTTTAAAGAATATTCTTAGTCTGCAGATGGCACAAAACCAGGGCATGAGCCTACTTGGCCCAAGGACCACAGTTTGCCCACCCATGCATCAGCCTGCAGTGGTGGTCATGGAGGTGTGGAGATATGGTTTATAAGGTGGCGGAGCTCATGGCACATGGGACTGGGTGTACGTGACAGGGAAGCAAAGAATGAGGTACACTGCTGGCCTTTGATCTGAGTAGCTGACAAACCAACCCCACCAGAGTCCTGGGGCTCAGGAATGCCCCATCAGTGGGGCATGATAAATCTAACCCCTGCATGATAAATCTAACCCCTGGCTCAGTGTTTCAAAACTGCACGACCAGGACGCCTGGGTGGTTCAGTGGTTGAGCGTCTGCCTTTGGCTCAGGTCATGATCCAGGGCCCTGGGAATGAGTCCCATGTTGGGCTCCCTGCAGGGGGCTCGCTTCTCCCTCTGCTGTGTCTCTGCCTCTCTCTCTGTGTGTCTCATGAACAAATATATAAAATCTTTAAAAAACAAAAACAAAAATATGCACAACCTGGCAGAACCACCTCGCTGGCCGTGCTTCTGACTGCCGCCCTTCACACACCTTTCCTTCCAGTCTAAGCTTCCTTCCAGTCTGCAAGCTCTTGTGCACACACACCAAATCCCCTGCCTTTCACTTCCTCTTGGTCTAAATGCCAGTCCTCCCCGACAGCTGGAAAATGTCCCAGCCCCACAAAGACGTGCTGGCTCTCCCAGCAGGAAGGAGGGGGAGCCCCTGCCCCTCTGTGTCCAATCTCACATCCCACGGCTTCTCTACCTGTATCCTAGCTGCTGGTATGGTAATCCTTCACAGCTCAGAGCTCTGACCAAAGGATAAGCTCCTAAAGGACACACCTGCTATACATTCATATATTTCTATCTTCCCACTGCCAGTCCCTCCCAGAACCTACGGGGTTCCTTAAATCTAGTGGGCAATGAGACTCTTCTTAAAATACTGAACAACATTAATTAATTAATTAATTAATTAATTAATTAATTAAAATACTGAACAAGACAGGTGTGGAGGTGTGGAAGATGGGAATAATGACTGGTGTCCCAGAATGAGACATTATTCTTCTAGTGATAATGTTTTAAAGGACAGACATTTAATTTCTTTTTAAAGATTTTATTCATTTATTCATAGAGACAGAGAGAGAGAGAGAGAGAGAGAGGCAGAGACACAGGCAGAGGGAGAAGCAGGCTCCATGCAGGGAGCCCGACGTGGGACTGGATCCTGGATCTTTGGGATCACACCCTGGACTGAAGGCGGAGCTAAACTGCTGAGCCACCCGGGCTGCCCAAAGGACAGACATTTAAAGTAAGAACCCCTAGCAATTAAAGCAGTGCATAAAAGGGGAAGCCAGTAAGTCAGAGGGTACATCGCATGTTTATCACTTCTCTTAAACCTTTCTGTGAATTTGAGATGCCTGGGTGGCTCAGTGGTTTAGTCCTGCATCGAGTCCTGGGATCAGGTCCTGCATCGGGCTCCCCATATGGAGCCTGCTTCTCCCTCTGCCTGTGTCTCTGCCTCTCTCTGTGTCTCTCATGAATAAATTAATAAAATCTTTAAAAACAAAAACAAAACAAAACCTTTCTGTGACTTACCCCAAACATCAACAGCCCATTCACACCTGAACAGTAAAAATGTCATGTTGTAAGACATGCACTCAAGCAGTTCTACTCCCCCAATATTTAAGCTTCCAAAGGGCTCAGAGCCAATCTAGGAAACGACTATTTATCCACTCACCGAAAGATGTTCCCGACCGCTTTTGTCAGCAACATCTGTAGAAGGGATTTCGTTACTTCTGTTTGTGGTGTCCCCAATGTCATTTGCTGCAGTCCCATAATCTTAAATTGGAGAAATGAAAAAGAAAAGGAACCATGAAGTTGTCACTGGGCTACCCACAAACAAGAGGCCACAGTATGACCCAAAACAATGAAGCGAGATAAATCCCGAAGATTCCAAGCCACTGACAGTCTAGCAGGGGAGGAGCATGACCCAGCTCTTGGGTTAAAGCCATTGCAGTGCTGGGATTGCATTGATGCTCAATTGTCATGCAACCCAGATCTTTCCACCACTGGTGTGGCAGTCAAATTCTAAACCAGGTTTTCCTTTGTAGGTAAGAATATATCCCCTTTTTTTAATGAAGTCTTTAGTATAAATATGAAGGGGAATCAATAATCTAAGATTCATACATTTTAGACCTGGAAGGGCCTTCAGATATGGAATCTAACTGCCAGTTTTACAGTTGAAGAAAGTAATGTGAGCAAAGTTAAATGACTAAGCTAAGGTCAACTGGCAAGAAGGTGGAGGAGCCTAAACATGAAACAGACTTGAAATCAGTAATGCTGATTCCAGGGCAAATGCATCCTATTTGCGTAAGAGGAAGTCACTCAAGAGGGCCTATGGTCGCAACATTGATGAGAACTTGGGTGCACAGATGAACTTGTTTGAAAAGGTCTGAATTGCCAACATTTCAGTTTCTGATTTAATAGAGGGAGCTGCACCAACTCAGTATTGAGAATTATTAGAAATGTCCTCATACACTGTGTCTCAAATGTCACTGCCATCCTCTGAATCAGTTTTCATCTATACAGATCATTTATTGGAAATCAATGATTGTTTTTTTGGGGGGGTGAAAGTTTTTATTAGTAATATTATGTATTAAATGTCATAGAAAAATTTTTATTAACTTATTACAGACACTGTTGGTTATAAATGTTTGGTATTTTTATTCTAAATAGATTTGGGGACTGAAATTTCCACCCTGAACAAACAACCTCATTAAGTCAGCCCTAGCTAAACTTCCCTCAGTAGGACTATCATGCTGACCTTGGGGCAACAAATTTAAATTATATTTAAATTAGCAGAGTGTTCCTTGAATGTGAATAAGTAGTAACAGAAAAAGCATCTATTTACTGTTTACTGTTTTATTCTTAACACCAAAACTACTTTGTCACCATTTTCATTGTAAATATACTAGACCATTAAATTCAACCAAATATTAGAAATATCATCCATTGGCTAATTTTTTACCTTTTCATAGTCTAGTGAGCCACTCATGCAAAATTATTCACTAAAGCATCGATAGTTTAATATCATGATATTTGGCCCAAAGATCCAAAGTGGGATCTGAGGCCAATGAGAAGATGGCATTTTTAAATTCTTGAAGTTACTGGAAAAGAGTCCAAAACATAATTTCAAAATGGAAAATCAGAATTCAAACATACCTCTCTGTGACACAATTTGAGATACTTTTTCTTTAAGCCATATCAGGACAAAGAAAAACAAAAGTATGCAAATCACATGCACAAAATCATCCAAACCACAGCTTGAAGGAAACAAAGGTTGACATGCATAAAACAGGTAAAGACAATATAATCTCCCAGTTAAAATTTGCTCAAGTTAAATACATGCACATATAACAAATATACAAATTTAGAATGAGTTCTTATAAAAAATAAAATGTCAGTATGTACATAAAGTTAAAGATGGAATATTTAATAGAACAAGTGTATACATATCATATTTTAATCAATCTTTTAATCAGTCTTTAATTTTGAGCCAAGGCTGGAAATTGAGGCTACCACTTTCCTAAACAGAAGCTTCTTGGTCATGAAGGTAGTTTGGAAATCTGTTCAAGATGGATTTTCACACCTGATCAAACATCCCTGGCATTCTATTAAAGTAGCAAAGTAGAGATGAGATATCCAGTTAAAAGCTTATGTAGTCCGCCTTCCAGCTTCTCCCTTTCCACATTATTAAGAGAACCCCATATAATTCAAGGGGTTCAATGACATTCTCTAAGCAAGCTGATCTAAACTCCATGGTAGCTCCAGTTAGTCAAGGGTTTATCCATCCCTCTTATGTAATGGGAGCAAGAATGAACCATGACCCACTGAGTCTGGAATCAGATTCAAGGAGGGCTGACTGAGATCTCTGAGCGAGTTCCCTTTCTTTGGGACTGCTTTCCAATGCTGTTCCATTTCTCCCAACAATGTGAGTGACAGCATCGTCTTATGACCACAAGGGGAGCCAGCCTTTGGTGAAGTGGGCGCAGTGTGCAGGGGGCATGTAAAAATGAAAAACTTGGGTGCCTGATGACATGGTTGAGCTCCTGGTTTAACCAAACCTATAAACATGCCCTACTTTTGAGGCTCCTGTCTGTGAGCCAAACTTCCTTATTATACAAGAAACATAATTTTGAATTGGGTTTACTGTCAAAGCCAGAAACTGATACACCTCCCTTTTCTTGGTAGTCATGGCTTTTAAACAGGTAATTAGTTCCCAATTATAGAAACAAAATGTCTGTTACAGTGGAATGGATTTACTTCCAAGAACAGAGCATGAGAGAGAAAATGCTATTTACAAGCACTGTAAATATCAAGGGAAAACAGCCATCAATATTGAATGATTTTTGAAATATCATTGTGGCCTATGTAATGCTTAAAGGGTATATTTAACCGAGCTTAAAGGTTCTCTTTTAGTTGATTTAGCTCATTTTAGACGAACATTTTGAAAAAAATACAAATAAAGACAACGTGATAGCTACCTTCATAAATTACGTCGGGATAATTTGGGTTGGCACCTAAAAGGCAAAACAGAGCAGAGATTTGTAAGTATGCATTCATAGTGAATACTAAGTATCCCCACTAAAATTAGTTAAATATATACTGGAGGTTTTATAGGGTTACAGGTTGCTTTATGGAACAGGTACATGAAACCTCAAGTCTTGGTTTGCTTCTTCACATGAACCATTTCCTTCCCCAGCCCCCAAACTTCCATCCCTTCAAAAGAAAAGAAATGAATGAGGATAAATTACAAATGACTTTAGAGCCAGAAAAATTTCAGCAATCAATGCATTATGACCATTTCTAGTGTATAGTTGGCCATTTTAAGTACAATCCCAGTACTTTTATTCCAGAGACAGACAGATCATCCCCATACCACTTTAAACAACAAAAGATAAAACCTCTGACAGTTTGGGTATTACTTTCAAAGTGTATTTTGGCAGGTCTACTCACTTTCACAAACAATCAACCAGCCCGAATAATGGTATCTAATGCAGTTTTGCTCTCCACTTGGTGTTCAGAGCGGGTTGCCAAGGCTGAATAAACAAACCCTTTCTTTGCCTTTAATACAACATGGAAAAATAAATGGACTTTCTCTATTGAAATGATTTATGTAGAAGAGATTACACGTAAATGTTATGTCAGAGACAAATGCAAAAGTATATCCACTTAATTGGGGGGAGGGATGATTGTTTAGTTACCAAGATGATCAGAATACTCTGTTGTCAAATATTCCCATGAAAATTTACAAAAGCGTTTTAAATTTTTTTTTAAATCATTGTCAAGAAGAACCAGTGACAAAATCATCTGCTATTTATTCTCCAGTCAGAACTACTGGGTCTCTATATGAAAGTCTACTTGGAAATAAAATTAAAATTTGATATAACATTGCGTGATTATAAAATAAATTTCCAAAGCTACTTTCTATGCTTTTGTCTTCACTTACTTACTTGTAAACTGTAAAGCTTATTCAGCTCTCATTTTATTTCTAAACCCTTTAGCAGAAAAATATCATTTAAGATAAGGGAAAATTTGAACCAATTTTCTGTTCAGGTTACTCCCTAGTAAATAACCAAAAGTAGCTTAAATGAAGAACCAAATAAAAATGGCCCTGATATTCAAATCCAAATTTTAACACAGTTCATGTCACAGAATATCTGTTATCAGGGGAAACATTAAGTAGATGGCTGTGTACATCGATTCAGGGACACTGCAAACTGTGGAGCATTCCATGCTAAATGGGGGTGCCATCTAGACTATAGTCTATGTTAATGACACAGCCTGAAATTGTGCAGTGCACAACCTGTGTCGCCATATGAGATGGCCCTGTGTCAATTCATGCAAATTCACTGATTCCAGCATATTTCAATACCATTTTGAGTTTTATTATCCCAAACACCATTTCAAAGTAGTCTTGAGTTACAATATGTTAATATTTATTGTTAGAATTATTTGTAGTAGGTGTGACATTCTTGAGATGGGCCTTGAAAGCTGTCTTGCAGTTTGAAGGATGATACAGTGGATAAAGCAGCATGAAATTCCTGTGGCAGTCCTAGTGATGTCATATGCGGGACACCTACCCACGTGCTGAAATCCTTTCCCTTTGCAAAGTCCCTGAGCCGCATGGGTATCCTGTCACTGTGAGGATTTCCTACTCCTACTAAAGGAAAGGTTCTAGTACCCCAAGGGAGCAAGTCATTCTTTGAACTGCTCAGTAATCCATTACTTTACAAGATCCCACTCTGGCCTCCTCCTCACTATGCCCTCTATACACAAGTCTGCATCTGCAAGGATACTTGCCCACCAGAGTCCACACTCTACTTCTAGACCTCACTCCAGGACCCAGGACCCAGGCCACAGGACCCAGGGCCCAGATTTCCTTCCCCATACACTCCAAACATACTTCCGAGGACTAGCTAGCTTTTTCTCCACATCTGTCAGCCCACAGGTGGCCACACCACCAGTATGAGCACCTTTTGACCCAAGACTCCAGGGAGGGGTAAGGGCCGAGCAAGGGCAGGTGAGCGAGGGTGTCCACGGGCCCACTCACTGCTTCTCACATATCTTTCATCATGTAGTCAGAGGCACAGGGCAGGGGCTATGGCCAGGAACCAGCTCTACCAAAACCACTACCTTCCAGCATGGACCTCCAAGAATCTGGGAGAATTCGATCCTCAAACCCAGTCTTCCAGGTCATTATAAACATATAGTTGCCAAAGTAGGAAGACCAAAAATATTGTTTTTTTAACAATTCATTAACTCAATTCAATTTTTTAAGTTATTTGGATATAAAGATACAGACTTTCATTTGGACTAGGTTGGCCATCCCAGACTGCTTGAGATTGAGGGCAGTGAACTTTAGGTTTTAAAACTGGGATAGTCCCAGGCAAATCTTTGCAGTTTGTCCAGTAAGAAGGGCTTTCCCCAAACATAGGACTTTTAGTGTGAAAACTAGGACTCGCCAGTCACCCTGATTTGTTCTTAAGCTCTCAGGGACCCACATACAGTTGCCACCTGCCCTTAGACATGCAATCCCATAAAAGAAAAAAGGCTGAGGATTCAGAGTCAGATGTATCTAGACCATGCATTGGAAAGGCTGCAGTGAAAATGCCTGACGTTCAGGTATAATTGAGTTTGTCACAGAAAGGGAACACCTCAACACATTACTCACACAGGGACCCTGGGAACATCCAGAACATTGAATCAGTTCAATGCAGCAAATGTTAGGTAAAGAAAAAGGATTTGAGATGGGAGCAAAAGTAAATAGGTTAGCCCATAATCTGGAAAACTCACCTTTTGCCAGACTTACAATTCATATGAGCACACGCCTTTCCCATCAAGTACAGCAGCAAAACCCTTAGGTCACGTCTACACTTTCTGAAAAGGACTACATTTTCCTAACTTCATTTTCTCAAATGTATGAGAAGAGCGGTCACTTTATATTCACTGTCCAAAATACTCAAATTTAGTGCAGGATTATGAAACTCACAGAAAGACAATGTGGGCAGAACAGTCATGTGGTTCTTACTTCCCTCTCCTGACCATACTATACTATGTCTGATGAGGACATAAAGCACAGTAAAGAAATGCCTCTTCGGGTACAAAGGTTTAGGAAGCCCAACACATGGAAAGACACACAGATACAGAGTTTATGTCAAGCAAGGGTCACAGTACTCTAGCGAAACCTGGTTCACCAAACACAGTATTTTGCTTCTAGCAACTTCTCGGTCAAGCTAACCTCCCACGGCGTTTATACTTAGACAGTAGGTAGTTATTTTTTTAATATTTTATTTATTTATTCATGAAAGACACAGGTAGAGAGAGAGGCAGAGACACAGGCAGAGGGAGAGGCAGGCTCCATGCAGGGAGCCCGATGTGGGACTCGATCCCGGGTCTCCAGGATCACACCCTGGGCTGAAGGCGGCGCTAAACCGCTGAGCCACCCGGGCTGCCCGACAGTAGGTAGTTATTAACATCACGTTAAAGGCAAACACAGAAAAAAAATAAAAAAAATAAAGGCAAACACAGGACAAAGTCACCCCTTCCTTTTCAGACCTCTGGCAATGGTCATTTTGTGAAAATACCCTGTCATTTTTAAGTCTAATTTCAAACTGGTTCCTTTCATTTAGTTTAAATATGCTAAAGTTAGAAACACCTGTTTGAAATATTCAAGACGAAAAGGTGGGCAAGGAGAGGCAGACACTGACTTTGAGGGAGAAAAGCCAAAGAAAAATGAATGAAAGATAAAGGAGAGATGTGCTTGTAAGGGGGATGTGAGCAGAGCTGTGCTCCCTGGAATACCATCCTGGTAGCTCATCAAGCAAGAAATCTCAGACTGAGGCATCAGGAGGTGGCATCCAACCCTAAAACTTCATGTTGAAACCACCATAATAAAATATGGAAATTTCTGGAATAAAATATTGAAACCCAGGAACTCCGTCAACCCCACGCCATTCCAAATAAGCATCAGCCACCCGCCAGCTCCCTCCATCTGGAAACAGTGGCTCCTCCCCAACCCAAAGAAGGTGCCTGCCACACACAAATTGTTGCCTGTCTCATGTTTTGATTCTGTTTTCTGAAAAGTTTGCTGAGGTGTTGGTGGGTGCTACATGCCTGTGTGCTTTGTTCTGGACCTCAGTCATGTTGTCAGGAATTTGGGGACCAGGATCAACAGGTACAGAGCACAGCACACTGGACTGTGGCCACACCCGCACTCCTGACCAAGCTCTGGATCTCACATGGGATGTCTGCGCCTCCAAACAACAGAGCTTAGAGCATTCAGGCTTCTAACAGTGGATGGTAAAGCCCCTTTCTCCCCAAAAATATCAAACCAAAGTACTTCACCATCCTTTACCTCCATGTTCAACACCTTTAAAGGGAAGACACTAGCTTCTCTATTCTAAGCTGTTACAGCTCATGAGTAAATCTTATGAGTCTACACAAGTCTTCATGAGTAAAACTCCATGACTTTTTCACTGTAGGATTCTACAGTTAAGAGATAAAGAAACATTGTGGGAAAGTGGGTAGGTCTCCCCTTCCGTCCTGCTGCATAGATAAAAATGATGGTGGAGGCCAGAAGACACATCTGCTTCTTTCGTTCTACTTCTAGTCCCTCTCTAATGCCCTTAAAAAAAAAAAAGAAAAAAAAAAAGAAAAGAAAGAAGAAAGAAAGAAAGAAAGAAAGAAAGAAAGACAAAAAAAGACTTCTCTCTCAATTCTATTTTCAGACTCTGTTTAGTGTGATCATTAGACATATTTCAAAGAATTCCAAATGATAGCAAAAGATTCATTCTTTTCAAATCAACCGTCCTTGGTTTGTCAATAGTGTGGTTTAACTCATGGCAGTCCCTCCTTCTAATTTCCAGATCCTTTTCCCCTTCCTTTTCTGAATGGCAGGCTGAACTCAGGGCCCCAACACACTGGGGGCTCAGATGTCTGGGTTTCATTTTTGGCTGAACTACTATGCAGCATCAGGGGGCTCTTCACTTTTCCTGTGACAAAGGAATGTTCCATACCT